ACAGTAACAGCTGGTCTACCTGCACTGCACAGGTTTCTGACTGTGGCTTGATACGCAGACCCCAGCACACTCACACACTCACACACTCACACACTCACACACTCACACACTCACACACTCACACACTCACACACTCACACACTCACACACTCACACACACCTTGCAGAATGCCCTCGGGGAAGATCCTTCACCCTGGGGGGGGGGGTAGGGTGGTTGGGAAGAGGAGTCTTCAGTTCCCCGCCCTGTCCCGGGGCCTGTGTTTGCCGGGGGCAAGCTGGCATGCTGCCACGCATGATGTCAGGTGACAGGGGCTGAGAACAGTGCTACAGCGAACTGTACAGAAACAATACTCAGCATATCGTGCTGGGAACATTACTGCAGTAGCAGTAATGTATGAAAAGTATGAACCCCCCTCCTGTAGTTCCACTTGCTGTGTCTTCGCCAAACTCAAAAATCTGTGGCTACTGTGACCTACAGTATATGTGTGATGAACACTATCTGCAGCTGTTACAAGTAGGAGAACTATTAGTCTTACTGCATTAGATACTGCGACAATTACTGTACTGTAGCAGATACTACTACAATTAGTCTTACTACATTAGATACTGCGACAATTACTATACTGTAGCAGATACTACTACAATTAGTCTTACTACTGTCAATAATGCAACATTTACCATTACTGCTACAGATAATACTACAGTTACTGCTGTAGATACTTCTGTAGTCACTGTTACTGCTGTAGATACTGCTGCAGATAATACTACAATTACCGTTACTGCTATTGATGCTGTTGATAATACTACAATTACTGTTACTGTTGCAGATAATACTACAATTACTGTTACTGCTGTAGATAATACTGCATTTACTCTTAATGCTTTAATTATTGTGACAATTACTGTACTGCTGCAGATAATACTTCTCTCACCATTACTACTGATATGTCTATTGCCACTGTCTACTACTGCTACAAACAATAATTATTAATACAGATGTTACTGTTGCTACTCCTATAATTACTACTGCTTCAATTAGTACTACAATTGTTATTCTTGCTGCTCCTATAATTACTCCTGTTACAATTATTGCTACAATCCTTATTCCTGCTGCTACTACAATTACTCCTGCTACAATTGTTGCTCTTGCAGCTGGTATATTTGCTATGCAACAATTATTACTCAAACGGTTACTCTTGCTGCTACTATAATGAATCCTACTATAATTACTCCTGCTACAATTGTTGCTCTTGCAACTGGTATATTTGCTATGCAGCAATTATTACTCAAATGGTTACTCTTGCTGCTACTATAATGAATATTTTGACTCTTGCTGTGGCTATAGTTACTACGGCCCCAGCTGTTACTGTGGCTGCTGCTGTATTTACTGCTGCAGCTACAGTATAGCAGGCGGTACTACAGCTGGAGCAGCCAGCCTGCTTTGCCAGTTTCCTGCGGTACCTGGAACAGCAGGGGTGTGTGGTGACCACAGTCTGGCATCACTGTTCACACTTCACGTCGCACTCAAGAGGATAATGGCTTCAGCTGAACAGAAAGCAATTAATCATTCCCAGTAGTTGACGTCTTTGACCACACTCCTGTGATACTTTTTTGTCATTTATTTCTCCGCTGCATCATCAGTCATGAATGAGTCACTGATGAATATGGAAATCCAGGTATTTGAGTTTGGAATGTGTGTGCGCACTGCTGCAAAGACACAGGACGTCATCCTTGCTGGTGCGAGGTTGGGGTGAAACAGAGTGCACCCCACCTCCCAGAGAGACGTCCCCTCGCCCGGTGCTTGGTGGTGGGCTCCTGCTGGGTAGAGAGAGGCCCGCCATCACCTGCCGGGTCCGCAGTTTCAGACAGGAGCATGGGCTGAAGTATTCGTTTATACCAGCACCGGCCAAAATATTAGGAACCCCCGTGGAGTGCAGTCTGACCAGGAGAGGGGCAGGGCTTTTGAGTATTGCCCCCCGTCTCCTAGCAGGGATGGCTACTGGAGAGGGCAATAGTGTGCGGCTTAGGTCCAGCGGATTGGGCTTCCAGCCGGATGGAGTTCTGGGGAAGGGGATGGACCTGTGGCTCCTGCTGGCCAAGCTCCTTCGACAGCGTGTTGGGGGTTCCTAATAATTGGGCCGGTGGGTGCATGAAGGGCCAGGACTGGCAGACTCTTACTTTCCAATCATTGTCAGCTTCTTATCAGTCAGCAGGAGTTTGTGTTGGCTCGCTGCCTTTCCTCATCGGGAGAAAGAGTAGAAAGGACAACAGGAAGTATAATTATAGATACATTATTTAT